CCACGAACCTCCCTCTTTGAGGGATCCCGCCCGGTTAGTCGCGAGGGCACGTGGCGCGTCCCCAGGTGGTGGATAGGGGAATAAAACGCGAACCAAAAGCGACCGTGTGCTTCCCAGAGACGCAGGTGGATTCAGGGGACGAGCTTCCTGCTTCTGCAGCGCCGACTTGACAAAACTCTATTTCTACGAATCAAGTCGGTCAAAAGCCTGCAATCAAGCGGCTGGGAAGTACATGGGAGGCGGTTAGGAGTCGCCTCCAACAAATAAGCTCCTCCCGCTCCTCCGAGAGAGACTGGCAAGCTACTCGTGAGTACCCAGCCCCCACGTTTAGAGCCTGGCAAGCTACACGTTGGGTATCAAAACTGCCAAAAACAGTAACAAATGTGGGCCTCATTCCCCTGACCCCGAAAGAGCCCCTGGTACGGTAGCGCCAGGTAGGACGAGTACGGAGAGGCTGCTAAAATCTCAGGGCCGAACTAGGCTGCCAAGATCGAAACGGACTAAAATGACGATCTGTACCTACAACGCAAGAACCCTTGCCCAACAATCCGCTGTAGAAGATCTGTTGATTCAAGCAAGAAGAATAAGGTACGATGTCATTGGCCTGGCTGAGACGAGAAGGCGCCATCCTTTTCACGCTGTCTATGACACCGGAGAAGAACTGTTCCTTGGAATGCGATAGCAGAGGTGTCGGTGGCGTTGGCGTCCTCGTCAAATCGAATTTGACCGTGAGCATTGATTCGTTCGAACAACTAACAACCCGTATCGGACGATTACGGTTGAAACGATGTGGTTCTATGCGCTTTGACCATCTTCGTTGCTTACGAACCAACATCAAGCTATGACGAAGACGAAGTCTAAGCGTTCTATATGGACCTCGAAAAATTCTTCAGAGAAGATCATACATTCTTCAAGGTCATTGTCGGAGATTTTAACGCAAAAATTGAACCTAGAAGAACGTCTGAGACGTCACATAGGGACCCACGGACTAGAATGGAATGAACAGGGTGAGAGGCTATCCGAGTTTATCATGACGACCCAAACCATCCATGGTAACTCGCAATTCCAAAAGCCTCTCTCTCAGCGATGGACGTGGGAGTCTCCCAATGGAGAGTACCATAACGAAATAGATCACATCATAGTAAATCGAAGGTTTTGCCTGACCGACGTCGCTGTTGTTCCCAAGTTCTACACGGGATCGGACCATCGCCTCCTTCGCGCAACGTTCCGATTTTCGAGGAGAGGAGAGAAAGCCGCTAAATTCAAACAACGAAGTCCCAGAACTACCATAAACTGGGATGTATTCAAATCATTAGTCGGCTCTTGGGAAGATACCGTTGTCGACAACATCGACGAAGAATACGATCGACTCGTTGATATCTTCACGTTGCGCTAAAAAGGCCGAGAGTCCTAAGGTCACGAAGAGACGCTTGTCTCCGCAGACACTCGAGCTGATACGTCAACGTGGAATCGCACGAGCTGCAGGCAACCGAAACCTTACGTCCGAACTTGCGAAACGATGCAGAGAAGCGATAAAAGAAGACCTTAAAGAGAGAAGAGCAGCAGTTATGGCAGAAGTTGCAGAAGCTGGGAAGAGCATTCGCAAAGCCCAGCGAGGCTTCGCCAACTATAAGACCAAGATGATTGCACTCCGATACCCTGACGGGACACTTACAGCTTCCAGAAGGGCTATGGAGAAAATCATCCACCAGTACTACTCGGATCTCTTCGCTAGCCATGTTCTCATACCGTCATATAAGTTGAAAGAGGACGAATATGTCGTTCCACCGGTCCTTCCTTCCGAATCCGACATGCTATATCGTCGGTGAAAAACAGAACAACACCCGGTCCAGACAGGATTAGACCAGAACACCTGAAGAACCTGCCGCCAGTTCTCATCAACACCCTGGCTCGGCTCTTCACTCGCTACCTGTCAGAATGCATGGTCCCTATTCAATGGAAAACCAGCAAGACCGTATTGTTGTTCAAAAAGGGAGACCTTCACGACATAGGCAATTATCGCCCAATCTGCTTGCTGTCCGTTGTCTATAAACTCTTTACTCGAGTCATCCTGAACAGGATTGACAGAACACTGGACGAAGGACAGCCATGCGAACAGGCAGGGTTCAGAAAAGGATTTAGTACCATAGACCACATCCACACGATCACAAGACTCATTGAAGTTTCGCGAGAGTACAAACAACCACTCTGTCTCACTTTTATCGATCTGAAAAAAGCCTTTGATTCAGTGGAAACAGAAGCGGTTATAGAGGCTCTGGATAACCAGGGCGTCCCTACTCTGTACATAATGATCCTTCGTGAGCTTTATAAAGATTTCACGACCAGAATATCTCCATTCTACAACAATATCACCATTGACGTAAGAAGAGGGGTTCGACAAGGCGATACAATATCGCCAAAACTATTCACTGCCACCCTACAAAACGTCATGCGAACATTAGAATGGGACGAAATGGGAGTGAAAATTGACGGTCGACAATTAAACCATCTTCGCTTTGCTGACGATATCGTTCTCATAACACCAAACATCAGCCAAGCGGAACGAATGTTGACTGATTTCGATAACGCCTGTGGAAAGATCGGTCTTCAACTGAATCTAACGAAAACAATGTTCATGAGGAACGGATGGGTTTCTAATGCCCCATTCACGCTCAACGGAACGACAATTTCCGAATGCTCCAGTTACATCTATCTAGGTCGTGAAATCAACATGATGAACGACCTAGCCCCAGAGTTGAGCAGGAGGAAACGAGCGGCTTGGGGAACGTTTAAGAGCATCGAAGATGTAGTGAAGAGGACAAAGAACATCCGACTCCGTGCCCACCTTTTCGACTCGACAATTATCCCTGCCCTAACGTATGCAGCAGAAACCTGGTCGCTACGTAAGCAGGATGAAAGATCACTTGCCGTTATCGAACGCGCAGTCGAAAGGTCGATGCTAGGAGTATCCGTATTTCGCAAGTGAGAGAAAGGATCCGAATTCCGACCTACGTCAACGATCGAAAATCAGAGACGCCGTTCTACACGCCAGGATATCGAAAATAAGGTGGGCCGGACACGTGATGCGCTTCAACGACAACCGATGGACGAGAGCCGTTACCGACTGGATTCCTCGGGACGTCAAGCGCTCTAAAGGAAGACCACTGACCCGTTGGTCCGATTTCTTCACGAAAGAGATGGAAGAAGGATATGATGCTCAGCGAATTCCTAGAGCGAGGAGGACCCACTGGGCTACTCTTGCACGCGATAGGGAAAAATGGAAGAGTTGCTGGTACCCGCTCGAGTCACTCGACGATCAACGGGACGACAGGTGATACAGGTGATACGAATAAATTCGATGCTATGTTGCTTAAACGATAGACGCTCTTGATATCAAGAATTCACTTCCTTACGAATCGATCGACACCGATTATTCAAAAAATCTGAGAGTGCACAACTGTCGAAAAATTCTTCTCGGAATATTTCCCATCATGTGACCTCTTCCTTTTGAAAAGTCACTGGCTTTTTCTGTATGATTTCATTATTGTTCAAAGTTTAATAAACTTTTTCTGCATTACTAGCTTTTTACTCCTGTCAAGTGATGATGAGGGGCTTAGCTCCGATGAAAAGCTGTCAAAAGATTTCCCTAGCTCATTCATGATACAAATTCCTTATTTTTATGCGCCAAGATCATTCAAGTTTGCTTTCGAGGAAAAGCTATTCGAAATGGTTATAACCGAAAAAATCGGTAATATCTCAGCTTTAGTGTGATTGAGTCAAATAAGATGAATCAACATTTTCCGTTTGACAATCGGTGCTATCGGTCACAAATGAAACCAACCTTCACTCGAGATTCAACGATACCATTACTAAGCGGTGTTTGTGTTAGATGGTGCTTTTGTCGAAACAAACAAAACGATTGCTCGTTTCGGTCGCGGATTATCGAGCAATGGACGATAAGCATTACAACCATCATTAAACGCTCTGATCATAAGCAACATACAAAGGTCACTGTTTTTTCACCGCCGTCAACTTCACCGATTCGCAGCAAATAGTCACCATCGTTTTTTTGACATATGCAATATGCCTTCATGAGGTAGATAACCGTGGTAGAAAGGAAACTTCTCGAGAACATTGAAAAAAATAATAAACAAAAAGTCTCTTTTGATCTCAAGTTGTTTCTATTGTTGAAAGATGGTTGTGACCAAATCAATCAACCTTTTCCTTTTCTTTGTCAAACACATTTGGCGCTAACGCAGGTTTGTCCGGCTGTCCCTCCGGCATACTTGCGAAGATTCATGGTGAAAAGTGTTTCCCCAGAAGAAATACCGTCTTCTAAAGATTGAGAATGGCCTACCAGTTGTCTATAGAATGATAACACTTCATCATCTCATACTTTCCATCTGTTCCATTAACACGATTGTTTTCTTTTGGTGTTCCCGAAAGCCTGGAAACTTGAAAAAGTCAATCTTGATTGGAAAACAATGTGAGCTCTTTTTGTGGGATTATTTACATTGATGGAGGCGTATATGTGTTTCACATTACTAAGTCAGTTCTCGACGAGAAATTCATTGGATTTGAGCTATCGAAAACTACAGAAACGTTTTGCAAAAGCAAAAAAATACAGTTTACAGAAGGGCTCACGTGGCGCCGCCATGAAAGAACAGTATTAATTCCGTTTTTCAACACTTATGAATTGATTCATGTCGTAATATAGGTAATGGTGGCTGAGTGGTAGAATGTTCGACCGATTCGTGGGCGACTCGGGTTCTCTCCCTGGCGATTACGATGATTTAGGTGTTACATTGTGAGACTTTTGTATTTCGACATTTATGAATTGATTAATGCCAGACCAGTGGTAACTGTGGTTGAGTGGTAGAATGTCTGTCTGTCACATGGGCGACTCTGGTTCAACCCCAGGCCAGCGCCGTATTTTAGGTGTTACATCGTGAGATTTTTTGTTTTTCGACACATATGATCTGATTATTGTCGTAGTATAGGTAATGGTGGCTGAGTGGTAGAATGTGCGGCCGCTTCGTAGGCGACTCGGGTTCGATCGCTGGCGAATACGATGTTTTAGGTGTTACACTGTGAGACTTTTGTATTTCAACGCATATGAATAGACTAATATCAGACTATGGGCAATTGTGGTTGAATGGTAGAATGTCTGTCTGTCACGGGCCTACTCTGGTTCGATCACAGGACAGCGGCAACTTTAAAGTGTTACATCGTAAGATTTTTGTTTTTCGACTCATCAATAGACTAATATCAGACTATGGGCAATTGTGGTTGACTGGTAGGATGTCGTCTGTCACATGGGCGACTCTGGTCAACCCAGCCGCGACGTTTTGGTTAATCGTGAGATTTTTGTTTTCGCACATGAATTAATGTCGTATTATAGGTAATGGTGGCAGAGTGGTAGAATGTTCGGGCGCTTCCTGAGCGACTCGAGTTCGATTTCTAGCCAACATAATGTTTCAGATATTACATCGCAAGATTTTTTTATTTCGACGCATATGAATAGACTAATATCAGACTATGGGCAATTGTGGTGAATGGTAGAATGTCTGTCTGTCACAGGGGCTACTCTGGTTCGATCACAGGACAGCGGCATACTTTAAAGTGTTACATCGTAAGATTTTTGTTTTTCGACTCATGAATAGATCAATGTCAGACTATGGGCAATTGTGGTTGAGTGGTAGGATGTCTGTCTGTCACATGGGCGACTCTGGTTCAACCCAGGCCAGCGCGTATTTTAGGTGTTACATCGTAAGATTTTTTGTTTTTCGACACTTATGAATTGATTAATGTCGTATTATAGGTAATGGTGGCAGAGTGTAGAATGTTCGGCGCTTCCTGAGCGACTCGAGTTCGATTTCTAGCCAACATAATGTTTCAGATTTACATCGCAAGACTTTTGTTTTTCGACGCATATGAATAGATTAATATCAGACTATGGGCAATTGTGGTTGAATGGTAGAATGTCTGTCTGTCACAGGGCTACGGCCAGCGCCCGTTTAAGGTAATGGTGGTTGAGTGGTAGAATGTTCGGGTGCTTCCTGGGCGACTCGGGTTCGATTTCTAGCCAACTAGTATTACAACACCCACGATTAGCATTTCCACAAGGTCCTGTGAAAAATTTATATCCATTGGCAGCAGACTTTCTGTGATTGTGCATGCTGTAAGCAGATGGCGAAATTTGTGCACGATCGGGCTCGCAGCTGTCGGTTTTTTACTTTGTTCTAACTTCAAACAAGCGTCCATCTGTGCTTAACTGTTTATTAACCATGGACTTGTACCATTTCTAAAACGGCGTTACTGTGGTCCAAGGCATCTTATGGAAACAAAGAAAGTAGAAAAAACTCCTTTGTTAGTCGGCCTGTGAGCCCAGTTCCCAAACACAATCAGTATTCAAGTTGATTTGATAGACTCATTCCCATTAGGCTGATACCGTAGGTTTTCATTTTTACCAAAGCACTCTGATAGTTACATGAATAGGGTTACAAAAATACGTTCAGGTTCTGAGGAAGGCGACCACGCCGAAATATCAGCCACCAATATTCAAGAAGATCCATCGACCGTCCAAAAGGACAATGGATCAAAAAAGTGTATTAACCTCGCAAAAGCGCATAATAAAGATTACTTCCATAACTATTTTTTTCAATTTCTTCGCAGCTGAAAGTATTCTTGAATGAAAATATGTATCAAATTTTTCTGGAAAGATAGAGCACTGATATATATGATCCATCGGTAATCATTGAAGGACATTTTTCACTCCAGATAAACATTCGGACACTTCTACAACACTTCATCCTTTTGGGACGAAGTGCATGTACTTGTATACATGCGTGTTTAATCGGTCAGGACTTTACGTAGCTATGTAAACACACAGCATTGATTAATCTTTTTCTACGGGAAGAACTTTTTTATCAAACTTTTATAGTCATTCTGTGCTCTGTATGATACAGATTATTTTAGGGTTCCTTTATGCATAGGCAGTCCTAATGGGCTGTTCCAACGAAAACAGTTAGATAGTGAGACAAAGTCACTCTCGAGAAGAATGCTCAGCTGAACGAGTCTAGCTAGAGAGCACACTAGAAGATCCGCCGTGATCTGTCTGCGTCGACGATCCTGCTTAGCATGCAGAATTCGGCAAAATTTCTCACAAGCATTTCGGTTGAGACTTTAAAACAAAACGATCACAGCTAAATGATGAAATATCACAGAAGACACCCCCATAAAGGTTTGCTTCAATGTAAAGAACACCCATGTGTTGAAAATTTTCCTATGTCTTAATGAGAAAACTACATTCTCTGAGTATGGAACACATTTTTAACTGTTTTTGAAAAATATTTGTTATTTTGTCCACATTTTTGGAGTCAATCGATAGCTGGAAAAATACTGATCTCAAAGCTAAAATGGATTTGTGAAAAAAAACATTCATAGTAGTTCCTAATAACGGAAAGGTCATTACGTTTTGCTCCTAAGGGTTCCTCTCCGTGTCTTCACAGCGGCTTTTTTGGTAGTATATAGAATAAGTTTGATTCTATGCAAGCTTTATCGCAACGAAAGGTAAGCTTTTAATGGATAAACTTTTTTGTACATATTTTCAGCTGAAACGACTCCCATATATTCTGAAAGTCTCTTCTTTTTCAATTCGAAATCCACTTCATTTAAACTACAGCGCATTTCCACTTGCCCTTTGATATTCGACACTGCTGTAAAATCGTATACCAAAAACACATTTTCTTCAACGTACGACTTTAAGAAAAGCTTATATTGAATCATTTCTAGTACTTTGTCAGAACACGCCATGATATGGTTTGCGCTTTCCCATTTCCGGACAACTTCTCTACTAAAGATGCGCATTCCTGTACCTGAACCATTGTTTCTTTTACTCGAAATATTCATTCATCGTTATTAAAATTGTAGCACAAAAC